CGGTGGAGGGTCCCGCTTGGGATTAACATGGATTGGTGAGCCTTTTAATAAAATTGCTCGTTTGACAAGGTCTCAGTTTGAGAATAAGTCATTCTAGCAATCCATATTTTTAAACAAATAAAAGAGTCCAACCATCCTTCGCGAATGCCGAAAGCCCGTTTCGGGCCGGTGGCGACACCTGCCTCCATAAGAATGTATGACTAGCTTTTAAGAATCCCCCTTTCTTTAGAGACTTCATGCATAAGTGCTTGATTATCTTTATTTTGATTTTGATTTTGATTTTTTTTTTAAAAATGATGATAGAATAAAACTACCAAGCACAAGCACTGTTTTTGATTTAAACTTGAACAATGATGTTGATATAGGGGTGACTCTTTCCTTTAAACTTTGCACTATTCTTGATTTCACCATTTTCCTTATTTCCTTCAACCTTAGTAAGACTCAACAACTCCCCCAACTTAATCCCCAATTCATTTCCATTATGCTCTCAAGATTTTGGTGAGGGTGAAGAGTTGGTATTATTCAAAGGCTAAAACTTGGCTGAAGGTTAAGGCTCAAACAAGCTTTAAGGAAGGGATTCAATCATGGTTTACTGTTTGGCTCTAGGCTTAAGAAGAATTCAACTATGCAAATTGAAATGCCTTGATCCTATCCAAAACTTCTCACAAGAGAAGTCATTCAAGACTCAACCAATGCAAACACATATATTATGATGATGGCCCTCAGAGTAAGATATGATCTATGCACTATTTAGTTTCTCTCCTTCCATAGCTTGGCTTAATGTTCAATTATTGATCTTTCATGCCATGCTAATCAAGTATCTCACAACTTTATGAACAAACAAATTGGATGAGTACAACCTCAAAGCAAGTCTCAAACACAAACCATTTTAAGGTGAATCAAAAAATGTGTTTTCGCTTTTTGTTGATCTAAAAGCCATCTCATTTACAACCTTCCAAGAATGATTTTCAATTTTTGCCAATATATATATATATATATATATATATATATAAATTCACAAAAAGTATATATGTATTCATACTACTGCTATCAAAACAAGCAAGCCATTGCAACAAAAAATAATGAATGTCCAAACCATTAGTATAGTTGCACCATAAAATATGAACTTCAACCAAGAACACCAAGAAGTTCAAAACCAACCAAACAAGTAAACCAACCAAGTAGTCCAAATCAAAGCAAAACAGAAACTAAAACAAATGAAATTTAAAATGACTGGAATTTAAAATGGCATAAAATTAAAATGGAACTCCTCTTCCTCAGAAAGTGGATGACAATGACCCATCATCCCCTTGGTTATTCTCTTCTTCATTAACTCCTTCTTGCCTGTTGCTTCCTCCCTCTTCATGTTCTTCTTCTGAGTGCATTACTTGCCCATGCTCTCGCTCCCCTTGCTCCCCAACATGATCTCCACCCCCTCCAGAAAAGACAAGGCTGTCCCCAGGCCACAAAACTGCTTCCTCAAACTGCTCAGGTGTAGGCCATGGGTATAAGTTGTCACCTGTGTCTGGCCGGTGTAAGGTGTAATGGTAGAAGTAAAAGTGCAATGCCAACTACCCTCTATGATTCGTAGCTTGTTAAAGTTGGACATGGTGCAAATGAGTCATTTGTAGTTGGTGTTGCGCTTCCATATGTTGGAACTGTTGAGTCATGTAGGTCTGCATAGTGGATAAATCAAAGGGCCTAGTTGGTGGGGCTGGAGATGGAGGAATGGATGATGGAGGGTGTTGTGATCTTCTAGAAGCTCTTAGAAACTCTCTTGGAGTATAGCATCGGGCCTTGACGAACACATGATCAATTGTCTTTCTGATGGGAGTAAGTGGTTGTGGAATATGCACTCCCTTGGCCTTGCACATACCAGTGATTAGTCCTGGAAAAGCTAATGGCCACACCGCTCCAAATTTTGAGGGCTTGGAAAAAATAATGGCATGCATATCATTAGAGATCAAGGTAGCGATGTCCATGTCCCTCCGTTGCATAATATAGAATATCAGCTTTGTCCGTGCAATGGTGATGTCCGAGGTGTGAGTGAGAGGAAGGACATTGCTGTATAAAATTGCTTGCCACAACCAGACAATAGATTTCAAGTCCTCTCTGAGTATATGGGTGGGCTGATTCCTTGTACTAGTTTGGTATTGACTACTGGGGAGAGTTAGAGTTTCCAGCACCAAAGCAGACATATCTTTATCCATGGCGGTGTGCATGAGCTTCTGGTAATCATCTTCTGAAAGGATGGCATAGTCAGTTTGCAAGTATGCATTGATGGCTTCCGGACTGTAAGGAACTGAAATGCCTTGCACCCAAGAGATTCGATCTTTTGAATTAGGTTTAGTTGGGAAGGCATTGGCGTAGAACTCCTTGATTAGAATTTCATTGTAGTTCTCTTCTAGTTGACCCACATTGGTCCATTTTCTTCTACTGAATTCATCACTGAAATCTAACAGAGGAAGATATGTGACCATTGGTCGCTCTGTAATTATATGCCTGCCCTCCAAATTTATAAAACGCTGTTGTTTAAACTTGTTCCGGAATCTGTTGGGTAGGAAGGTGAAACCTCTGGTTGGTTGTGATGGTGTGGGAGTTTCTTTATCATTAGAGGATGAAGATGAAGATGAATCCGAAGTAGGAGCTGCCACCTTCTTTCGCTTGCGATCAGCCAGAATTTCATGGGTGGGTTGAGAACCACCGCCTCTTGACCGTCCCATCTGAAAAGTTTGACAACCAAATTTCCCAAGCAAGTTAGTATAAAATTTGATTCATACAGTCAAGAGCATATTCCTTTATAGGGTGTATAAAAAATGATTGACCAACATTCCAATACATACACCCCTAAACATAACTCATCATATGACCAAGCAAGCATTTCACAAGAAATCTTTCAAATATATTCAAGCAAAGCCATCAATGAAGTGTTTTGAACATTAAAATCCTACTACCAGTAATGATTAGTCCACCAAAAGATTTATTAAATTTGAAAAATGGAATCAGATTTCACTTAGGCATTTTCTCAAACACTAGCAAGCAAAGATAGGAATTAGTCATGCATGTGCAAAATGGATTATCAAAGCATCCCAAAATTCAAACATTTCAGTCCAAGAAGAGAATCAATTCCACATTGTGTTTTCATGATGATCAAAGAACCCAGAAATGATGAATAGGTATGAAGGAAGGACATGTTGTTCATGAAAGAAGAAAAGTTCTTGAAGCATTTAATCAAGCACGTGGTAAAATTGATAATAAAAACAACATGCACGTGCATTCTTGTCATTCAAGTCTTAAATTTCATCACAACAAGGAGATGGTGTGCTCATTGCATTCAATTTGAATACTCCTCTCATTCAAGCCTTTCTTCGAACACAAAGCAAGCAGAAAATGAGAAGAGTCATGCATGTGCAATATTGATGGATTAAAAACCCAAATTCAAGCATTTAAACAGTTGACGTGATAAGCATGCTTTAGATAACTCAAAGAGTACAAAAATCATACTTAGGGTTCCAAAAAGTTGAAATGAGCAAGCAAAGGTTTCATGCATTATTCATGAAAGTTAGAAAGATGAAGATTGTACCTTGAAATCCAAGCAAAAGAGAATATTTTGATGTTAATGTGTGAGAAAGATGAGGAAAACAGAGACTTTATGGAGAAAAATGGAGACTTTATAGTGGAAATGTGAAGAAAGAGGGAGACATGGGAGATGAAGAGGTTTGGGATGAAAAGAAAAAGAGAGACAAAGAGGAGGAGAGGGAGCGTCATTTTTAAAACTGACCAAAACTGCTCCTCTCCCTTTTATTTAAAACTGTCTCCATGCCCCACCGCTATGGCTGCAAAACCACCACTGAAGCAGTGGATGATTTAAATACATAAATGAGTGCCAAAGAATTGGCGTTATGGCTGTGGGTTCTGGCGCTTCAGCGCTGGAATTGAGATATGTCAAAAGGCCAACAGAAACTTGGCGCCTTAGCGGTGGAGCTGGCGCTTCTGCGCGACAATTTGAAATACACCAAAAAGTCCAACAAAGAGTTGGCGCCATGGCTATGAGCCTGACACTTAAGTGGTGGACTTAGGATTTCATTTCTACATGAAAATAACTCCTTCAACCATTCATTTGAGACCAGATTCATTCTTAGCTTTCACCTGAGCTTTTCAACTAAACCATCATCTCACATTGGTACCTCTATCAACACCTTAAAACCTCATAACCAAGTGTAAAGCTGATTTGTTCATGAGATCCCAAAATATCTCAAAGGACTCCACTACTATTCCACACTAGACATCAAGTTTAACATGTACTTAACTATCAAGCAACAATAATATAAACTCATCCAAAACCTATTCTATACTATTATGTATTAAGAATTAGAATAATCACAACTCAAAACCCAAAAACTGCACAACCAGCAAGAAAGCATCAAAATAACTTCTCATATCCTAACACACAAAACACAAACAGAACTTAAACTAGATCAGCAATGTTAACACATTCCACAACATGCCAATCATCAAGCAACATTCATTTTGAAATCAAGCAACTCTATGAACAAAAACTCTTAACTACTCCCTATTCAAACTAAAACTTAGAATTTAAAACAGAAATTAAAACAAGAACAAGCCAATTTAGTGTCTTTAGCTTGACAACCGTTGTATGATCATGGCTCCTTCAGATGAGTAATGGTAGTGAGTCTTTCAACTTCACCACCTAGATAATGCTTGAGTCTTTGACCATTGACTAACCAAGTCCTTCCAGAAGCAAGGTCTTCAAGTTCAATAGCCCCATATGATTTGACTGACTTGATTGAAAAAGGACCTGACCATTTAGATTTGAGTTTCCCAGGGAAAAGTTTCAGCCTGGAATTGAACAACAATACTTGTTGGCCAGGTTGGAAGTTCTTGTTCAGAATTTTCCTGTCATGGTATATCTTGGCTTTGTGCTTGTAAGATCTAGAAGACTCAGAAGCTTGCAACCTTATTTCTTCCAATTCATGCAATTAAAGCTTTCTTTTCTCCCCTGCTGCCTTCAAATCATAATTTAAGGCCTTCAAAGCCAAAAATTCTTTATGTTCCAATTCAACTGGCAGATGATAAGCCTTACCATAGACAAGTTGAAATGGTGAGAACCCAATAGGAGACATGAATGTAGTCCTATAGGCCCAAAGTGTATCATCTAACTTTAAAGCCCAATCCTTCCTATAACTGACCACTGTCTTCTCCAGAATTCTCTTCAACTCCCTGTTGGATACCTCAGCCTGCCCATTGGTTTGAGGATGATAAGGTGTGGCGACCTTGTGCCTCACATTATAGTGCTCCAGAACTTTTTGCAATTGAGCATTGCAAAAATGAGATCCACCATCACTAATGAGTACCCTTGGTAATTCAAACCTGCAAAAAATGTTTTTCTTTAAAAAATTTATGACAGTTTTGGCATCAGCTTTCTGCACAGCACTAGCCTCCACCCATTTTGAAACGTAATCAACTGCCACAAGAATGTATTCATTCCCAAAAATGATGGCAAAGGCCCAATGAAATCAATCCCCCAGCAATCAAAGACTTCCACTTCTAAGATGTTTTGTAGGGGTAACTCATGTCTCTTGGAAATTGTCCCTGTTCTTTGACACTTATCACATCTCTTGCAATGTTCATATGCATCTTTGAACAAGTTTGGCCAATAAAATCCAGATTGGAGAACCTTTGTTGTTGTTCTTTCTCCATTATAATGCCCTCCATAGAGTGAGTTATGGCAATGCCAGAGAATATCTCTGATCTCAGCCCCAGAGACACAACTCCTTAGTAAACCATCAGCACCTATCTTAAACAAATACGGATCATCCCAGACATAGTAATTAGAATCTCTGAAGAACTTCTTCCTTTGTTGCCAGTTGTACTCTTCCGGAACAACCCCTGCTGCTTTGTATTTTGCCATATCAACAAACCAGGGTCTTTCACTCACTACACACTACAAGAAAATGACGATTTTGCAACGGTTATATGACCTACATTGCGACGGTTATAACTGCCGCAATATTTACCAAACTGCCACCGCGTTTTTACAACGTCGGGTATTCCAGTTTTCAACGTAAATTAGGTGACGTAGTAGCCCTTTTTTGCACTAATGTATGCTCTAGTGATTATATTATTGAATGAGATAGTTGTGGTGTAAGTTTGATACACTTGAGTTATTTGTCTTTCAAACTTGATGTCATATTGAGGTCCTATATATTGTTGGTTTACATGTTGGTGTTGGTGATTAGTATAGTCATCTTTACTTCTATTCTAGCTATTTGTTGATTCTCTTGAAATCTAACTTATCTTTACATGTTTTTCTAGTGATTTAGTTGTGATGATCATGTTTACACGTGAGTAGGACAATATTAGGATAGTATTAGAATTGGAATATTGTATCTTATTTCCCTCTTTTTGATTCTTCTCCTTTCTTAAATTTTGATTCTTATACATATAGTAATTTCATGTCAATATTAAAGTGATAGACCTTAATGATGTTGTGTTGATATTTTTATTTATTTATTTTTATAGGAATGAAGTTAACAAAAAATAAAAGTTAAAAAACTATAACATGGAATAATTATATTTTAACCAATATGTATTTTATATTGCATGCATGTGTGGTCTATTTTCTTTTCCTTGTTTATTATATGGCCGTAAGTTATGGAGATTGACAGCTTGTTATACACAGAAATACAAACATCCAGTGTGCCTGAAAGGGTTTGTATCCAACTATGGTTAACTTCTATAATAATAAACTTGTTAGAACAAGTTTAGATAAATTTTAATCCAGTTCTAATACACTTCACACCTCTTAAGTTAAGTAAAATGAGTAAAATTATCAATAGATATACAATGCCTGAAAACCTAAGCCAACCATATACTACATTCCAAATCCAGTTTGACACCAGACAATATAAAAAAAAAATTAAAAAGGAAAAATCTTCTTCAAAAGAGAAGCACAACACCCATGAAATTATTATTTTTTCAATATTACGATATAATTATTTGAACAAATTTTCTTCAACAATCATTTTTCAAAATACAACATACCCGAACCCAAAACTTTGCTTTGAAAAAATCATTTGTTAGTAATATGTATTTTAATTACTAGCATCCTTACTTGATATTCATGATAATTGTTCAAGTATATAATTTATATTCAATCTAAATGCACGTATAATTATGTAGTAGTATGCATATTATAATGTTATTAATAAAGTAACACAACTCTTCCATAACAGAATATATAAGATTACACTTGTAACCGGTCATTTTATATAATAATTAAGATTATGTTTACACTTGTGGAGTTTGGAATCAACTTTCCAGTCAAAGCAAGCTGGGTAAGAAAATGTTGCTAACAAAGGACAAAAATTTATTAACTTGTTACGTATCGAAAGTTATGCACGATCGGATGCTTGTGAAAGTCATTTCCACACATGCTTTTGAACCCTTTCATTTTGCTTTGGTCAAAGTCAAATTTAGTTTATGATTTTTTTTTAAAAGTAGTAGTATTCCAGCTGAAAGGTTGATGGATATGACCATAAGTAATTGGCTTGATTGCATGGGTTGAATAAGATTTAGTTCTAGCTAAAAAATTTGGTAATATGTTTCATGGTAAAGTTGGATCAAAATATATATGATTATTACATTATCCTATTATTTTTAACCATAATTTAGAAATATATATAAGTAGTACTATAAACATATATAAGATAGAAATATCTCTTTAAATATACTTTATTTTATTCTCATTATCGGAATTTAAATATTAAATAAGTTAATTAAAGAACATATGATAGTACTTCTTATGCACCTAATATTGGTCTACGTTATCCTAATTGATAATGCATCTCGCAACTAACATAGCTATCACTATCAGCCACAATGAGTAGTACATATACCAATTAGCATTGTAGTTTTAAGAAGGATCAGAAGGACAATAATTGGAAGCACGTAGTTGCCTTATTGTGGACTCAATTGCCAGATGTTATGTTATATTAAGGTGTCTCAATTCTCAAACAAGAAAAGAGAGGTACCAACTTGTACATCAGATTAATAATGCCAAAAGTCAATCATGCATAATCTAAGGTAAATAACGTCGGGTATTCCAGTTTTCAACGTAAATTAGGTGACGTAGTAGCCCTTTTTTGCACTAATGTATGCTCTAGTGATTATATTATTGAATGAGATAGTTGTGGTGTAAGTTTGATACACTTGAGTTATTTGTCTTTCAAACTTGATGTCATATTGAGGTCCTATATATTGTTGGTTTACATGTTGGTGTTGGTGATTAGTATAGTCATCTTTACTTCTATTCTAGCTATTTGTTGATTCTCTTGAAATCTAACTTATCTTTACATGTTTTTCTAGTGATTTAGTTGTGATGATCATGTTTACACGTGAGTAGGACAATATTAGGATAGTATTAGAATTGGAATATTGTATCTTATTTCCCTCTTTTTGATTCTTCTCCTTTCTTAAATTTTGATTCTTATACATATAGTAATTTCATGTCAATATTAAAGTGATAGACCTTAATGATGTTGTGTTGATATTTTTATTTATTTATTTTTTTACAACGTCGGGTATTCCAGTTTTCAACGTAAATTAGGTGACGTAGTAGCCCTTTTTTGCACTAATGTATGCTCTAGTGATTATATTATTGAATGAGATAGTTGTGGTGTAAGTTTGATACACATCCATCGCAATTTATCATTTTTCTTGTAGTGACAAATAGCTTTTCATCAGAAAATTCTTCCAAGATTTCTTCTTCTTGACTAGTCACCTGCTCATTGACAAGCCTTGATAGGTGATCAGCAACATGATTCTCACACCCCTTTTTGTCTTTGATTTCTAAATCAAACTCTTGTAACAGAAGAATCCACCGGATCAATCTTGGCTTTGAATCTGCTTTTGTCAACAAATACTTGATAGTAGCATAGTCAGTATAAATAGTGATCTTTGAACCCACAAGGTAAGAATGAAATTTTTCTAATGCATACACTATCGCAAGTAACTCCTTTTTAGTTGTTGCATAGTTAATTTTATTTGCATTTAACACCTTACTTGCATAGTGAATAACATGAAAAATTTTATTCTTCCTTTGGCCCAAAGCAGCTCCTATAGCCTAATCACTAGCATCACACATTAGTTCAAAATTAAGTTTCCAATCCGGAGCTGTGATTATAGGAGCTGAAACAAGCTTACTTTTTAAAAGTTCAAAAGCCTGTAAACAATCATGATCAAAATCAAACTTGTTATTTTTAAGAAGGTTACTGAGAGGCTTAGCTATCTTGGAAAAATCTTTGATGAATCTTCTGTAGAATCCTGCATGCCCTAAGAAGCTTCTGATCCCCTTCACGTTGATTGGTGGTGGCAGCTTTGAAATGATATCTACCTTGGCTGGATCCACCTCTATGCCCTTCTGAGAGACTTTGTGGCCAAGAACAATGCCCACTCTAACCATGAAGTGACATTTCTCCTAGTTCAGCACCAAATTAGTCTCTACACACCGCTTGAGAATAGTGTTGAGATTGTTAAGGCAAACTTCAAAGGATGAGCCGAACACAGAGAAATCATCCATGAAGATTTCTATGCATTTCTCCACCAGATAAAAAAAGATTTCTAAGTGTTAGGATTAAATTCATGTTATTTAATTTGAGTAGTTTAATTTTTATTTCCATTGTATTTTTTTTCCATGTCTAGTTTATGTTAAAATGTGATTCTTTCTACCTACAAGGATTTTGAGTTTATTTATTATATTTGAGGTTATTTAGTTATTTAATATATTATGTGTGCGTGTGGGGTAAAAGATGTCACGCACATGACTACTCATCCCTCTTTTTAATGCACATTAATACAAACACATATTTATAGAGTACATTAATAGATGATACAAACCTATAACATTGATAGACTAAGATATACAGATGATACCTACAAACTATACCATCAGACTATACTATCAAATGACACCATTAGAGTAGGGATGGTAACGAGGCGGGTCGGGTACGAGTTTCATAATACCCGTCTCTGTCCCCGCGACTCAAACTCATCCCCATACTCGTACCCTTACCCACCGGGTATGTAATTTTCGTCCCCGTCGGGTATCGAGTATACCCGTACTTGTAAAAAATTATTATTTTTTTTACAAAAAAATATTTTTTCATTATATTATAATTATAATTAAATTATTTCTCTATCTCATATTTTAATCAAAAGATTTCTTAATAATTAAACAACTATAAATATTTTACATTATAATAAATAATTACACATAATAAAATATTAAACAAAAATTTAATATAATTCAATCGAGGACGGATACGGGTACGAGTATATACATACCCGTACCTGGTTTACATATTGGGTTTTACCCGTACCCGTACTCGGTAAAACAGGGTATTCCCTGTCAAAGTCGAGACGAGTTCAGGTATTACCTACGGGTACGAGTTTATTTATCATCCCTACATTAGACTATATTATTAGACAAACAATACATGTATAGACTCCTTTAGACTTTATGTATAAACTAGACAC